CGTGGTCCAAGAGGCGTGATCGACACCAAGCGAACTAGTGATTGGTTCTCTTCCCGTAGGTGTCCGCCCCCGGCCCGCCTCCATTCTCCCGGGCTTGGCGCTCATTGGCTGAATGAGCAGCGTGCCCTTTGGGAACGAGGAGGGCTCATTGAAGGGATTCCTCCACCGGCCGGTGAGGGCAAGGCCCAAAGGGGTGCGGCCTATGGGGGCGGGGCTTCTTGCCCTGGAGTCGCAGACGGTCCTTTAGCCCTTAAATAAGTGGCATCTAAGGAGTTAGCCTCTTGGGAAGAGATAGGGTCGCATTAGACCGGGCCTCCCTGCCCTCATTCATTCGCGCCGGTCGTCCCGCGCCGAATCCCAGCGGGGCGGGGCGCGTCGCGTGACGTCATCGCGCGGCGCCGCGCGCGCCGGGAGGAAGCCTGACCTCTCGTGGCGCAGGGCGCGGGGCGCCGCACCGCTATGCTGAAGCTAGTCCGGGCCGGGGCGCGGGCGTGGGCTCGGGCTCGACCCGCCGGCTGCCGGGTGAGGCCGGGAGCCGCGGGTGGGGTCCCAAGCAAAGATTAGGGGTGGGGGGTGGGTGCAGGGCCACTGCTCACTCGTACACCGTTCGCAGGGCCTGAGCTCGCTGGCGGAAGAGGCAGCGCCGCTGCCGGCGGTGGAGCCTGAACCGGTGAGGAATGCAGGTAAGGTTAGCATCCTTGCCCGAGAAAGGGCACCTACTGGGACCGCTGATCTTGACCCTCAGCCCCACTTTCCTTATCGGTCTAGGTTCCCTGACACCTGTGCTGCGCAGGTGCGAGCTCCCAGTACCCGCGAACCGGCGCCCCGTGCAGGCCTGGGTTGAGTCCCTGCAGGGCTTCGATCAGGAGCGAGTGGGCCTGGCCGACCTGCACCCGGACGTCTTCGCCACGGCGCCCAGGTGAGCATCGCTCGGTGCAAAGGGCTGTAATGAACTAGGTGGCGATTCAGGATGACTTGGGCTTCTACACTTGGTAAAGTGCTCTCTCTAGCGGTTGAGCCTCAGTTTCTCCACCTGTCAAAGAGGGCTGATGAGGTGGAGCAGTGCCGCCTTCTAGTGGTGACTCAAAAAACAAGTCACCGCCATCAAGTGGATTCTGATTCATAGTGACCCCATAGGACAGGGTAGAAGCTGGGCTTCCTGGACTGTAACTCTTGGGAGTAGAAAGCCTCCTCTTTCTCCCGGAGAGTGCTTGGTGGTTTCAAACTGCCGGCCTTGTGGTTCACTGGAAGCTTAAGGAGTATGCCCCCAGGGTTCCTTGTGTCTAAAGTAAAGAGTTGAGAAAAAGTGAGTGACTCCTAGATTATCTGCATTGTTGTTAAGTGCTGTTGCATCCGTTGCAACCCTATGTACAACAGAATGAAACACCGCCCACCTGGCCCCACACCATCCTGGCAATTGCCCTTATGTTTGAGCCACTGTTGTAGCCACCGTGTCAACCCATGTGTCAGCAGGACGCTACACTAACTCTAAAATGATAGCGTCCAGAAGATAACCTATGAAGATATAAATGTGGATTGTAAAGATAATCTACAATGATAGATAACGAATGATAGAGTCCTTCAAATAATCCAGGTGATTTTTAGGTCTCTGTATAATCGCCATAATGTTCTCGGTCCAAAGGAAGCAAACATATTGTCACCGAAAATCAGTTACCATCCTCTCTAGCTGCATGCGTGTGTATATTGCTGAGGTAAATGCAATCATTGTAAACATTTCTATGATCTGGGATTTTGTTTTCATTCTGAAACGGGAGCTTTTTGGTTTACATGTTTATTAAAAACGGAAAAAAAACACAAAGAAACCAGTTGCTATTGAGTGATCGACTACGCATAAACCAATGAGAACAACTTTATGAAGCTAATAAAACCTTGTAAGTAAAAACTTCTGTTACAGAAACAGCAGGTCAGATTGGCCCCTGGGCCATAGATGGCCGAGCCCTCGTGGAGCTATAGAATATGGCCACGTGTATAGGTATCAATTTCTTAGTAGCCACATTTTTGAAAAGTGGAAAGAGACTGGTGAGGTCACTTTGAATAATACATCCATTTAACGCAGTCTGTCTGAACTGTTGTCATTTGGTATGCGACACTGACCACTTCTCAGGTGTTCGATGGCCACAAGTGGCTGCACGTGGCTGCATGTTGAACAGCTTGGAGCTAAGGAGGATAAGCCAGTCCCTGAGGAGGTTGGCATGAAATGAGTTGTGATGGTGGTTGTTAGGTGGTGCTGAGTCGGCACCAACTCATAGCACCCTGGTGTTCAACAGAACAAAACCACCGGCCCGTCCTGCACCTCCTCCCAGTCCCTGCTGTGTTAATCCATCTTGTCAAGAGTCCAGCTCTTTTTGGCAGCCCCTCTGTTTTACTAAGCATGTCCTTCTCTAGGGACTAGTCTTTTCTGAAGGAGCCCTGGTGGTGCCGTGGATTGCACATCGAGCTGCTAACCACGGGGGCCATGGTTCCAGCCCACCAGTTGCTTCTAGGAAGAAAGATGAGATTATCTGCTCCCATGAAGATCTAAAGTCTTGGAGGCCCCAAGGGACAGTGCTGCTCCCTCCTAGAGGGTCAGTCTGGGTCCATGGGTTGGCCTTTGCAGATAGGAGGTCCAAAGTAGGTGCAGTGAAGTGAGAACTTCTCTCAGATACCCTGCGTTCTGAAATCCCCCGGCTCTGGAGGAAGCAGTCAGGAGAGCATCTTAGGAAGAGGGGCCCTCGCCTCACGGGGGCGGGCAAAGCCTTTGAAGCTGGGCACCTTCTCCCAGAGAGGACCAGGAGCAGGTGGCAGGAGGCCCTAGGGGGCTGCAGGGAGGAGCCTGGGAGCCCTCCAGTGGGTGGGGAGCTGTGGAAGGGGCTTGAGCAGAGGCGGGGGGTGGGGCCTCCTCTTTCCTCTCTCTCCATCTCCACAGGCTGGACATTTTGCACCAGGTCGCTATCTGGCAGAGGAACTTCAGGAGAATCGTGAGTCCCCGAGAGGGCTAAGGTGGGAGGAGGGCACACTGTAGGATCAAGGGGGCAGGATGTCTTCTCTGTGTCACTCAGGCCTAGGGGCGGGTTCTCTCTCCCAGCGTAGTTACTGATTGGCTCGCTTTCTGGGAGTCTCTGCAGCACCAGGGGAGGCCCTGCCAGAAGCTGGAATCTAGAACTGCCCCATCCTCATCTCCTCATACCGTGTGTACCCCACCAGCACCCACAGGGATCTTACTGAGTGTCCCAGCTCCCGCATTGCAGGGCCTGGCCGTTGACCAGATGGTGCTGACTAGAGTTCCCCTCCCATTTGTGTGGCTTACTCCCCTCCCCCTCCAGGTGTCTTTCTGGGTCTCACCTCCTCCAGGGAGCCTTCCCTAAGCGCCTCCAGGCCCCTCACAGCCCTCAGGGCATTTAACCTCAGGCAGGCCTGTGGTAGAAGTTAACCAGTAAAGGGGGCCACAGGACCGAGATGAGGGTGGGAGACAGTAGGCACATAGGCCCTGGGGCAGGGAGGGACCAAACGGAGCCCAGGGTGGCTCCAGAGGCCCAAGGAGAACAGCGGGGAATTTGGATTTTATGCCAAGAGCATTGACGAAGCTGTTATCAGCCTCTGCCTTTCCCTTGGTCACCGTGAGATCCAGCATGTCCTCCCTCTACTCTACCCTCCCTGGCTCCCATCTGTCCTTGGAATAAGCATTCCGCCCAGCACTGGAAGCTCCTTGTGACCCCCCCACTCCCAACACACACACACACACACACACACACACACCCCTCTCTGATTCCCTCCAGCCGAATCTTTCCTATGCCCTGCTTGCCTTTCAGCTGCAGCTACGTTAATTCGCTCAAGAAACAGCAATATGCAGAAGAAATGGGGTTGGGGGTGTGGAGCACCTACTGGGTGCCAAGTGCACCTATTGTGTGCCAGGTGGCAGCACCTGGCGTTTATAGGGCTGATACCCTGGTTTCCAGGTGGCAGAACCTGCCTTTGTAGGGCTGACGTTGAGCACCTACTGGGTTTAGAGTGTATGTATGTGTGTGGGGGTGTCCCTCTAATTCCTCTATCTCCCCTTCTCCCCCAATCACTGTGCCTTGGGTCCCGCTCTCCCCACGCCCTGGCAGGATCTGTCTGCCCCACTTACCACCACGTGGGAGGCAACCAACGGCTGCTTGACGCCCCTGGCCTGGCAAACATGACCTCCCCCTCACTTTGCTCCCACAGAGCTATGCCAAGACCAAGACGAGGGCAGAGGTGCAGGGCGGCGGCCGGAAGCCATGGCCGCAGAAGGGCAGCGGGCGTGCCCGGCATGGCAGCATCCGGTCCCCACTCTGGCGCGGAGGTGAGCAGGCGGGCAGGGCAGCACGTAGCCAGTCTCCCACGCTCACTGCACACATGGAACAGGCCCCAGGATGCAGGACCTCCCTCCCCCACAGCTCAGGACCATGGCCACCACCCTGCTGGGCCCCCTCTCCCCTCGGGGGTCACCCTTCACTCAGCGGCCAGAGGAGTATCCTTGAAAGTCCCGGCTGCCCAGAGCCTATGAGTGACGTGTGAACACCCTGCTTCTGCCTTCGAGGCCCTAGCAGCTGGCAGGACGGGGAGGGGGAAAGGTTGCTGCCCGTGGGCACAGCCTACTCCCTTCCTCCATCAAGTGCCTGTCTGGGCCATGTCTCCTCCAGGAAGCCCTCCCTGAGCTCCTCTGCCCCTCCTCCCCACCCCACCCCCCACCGCCAGCTTCAGGCACTGCCCGCTCTAGGCCCTAGTTCCTGATTTCCTCCAGCATGCGTCTCCCGGGCCAGGCCAGGAAATGCCCAGTGTGAGGCCAGGGTCGGGTCTGGCCCTCCCCCCGGGACCCAGCAGGGCCAGCACACCCAGGACTCGCTCAGCCCTGACGTTCTCCCAGGAGACCCAGGCAGTTTTCTCAGCTCAGTCGTCCAGCTCGTGCTCCGCACCGGTCGACCCGCCAGCATAGCCAAGGCCACACGCCCTGTGCCGCACCACATGCAGTCCCGTGTGCTAGCAGCCGCCGTGTCTCAGTGTCCAACCACCCAGGAGCAAAGCCGAGGCACCGGAGGGCAAAGGCACTGAACCCGGTCTCCCCTCCACCCCTACCTGCTCTCTGCTGTGGCCCCATCTGCCCACCCCTTTTCTCCCCACAGGAGGCGTTGCCCACGGCCCCCGGGGCCCCACCAGTTATTACTACATGCTGCCCATGAAGGTGCGCGTGCAGGGCCTGAAGGTGGCGCTGACGGTCAAGCTGGCCCAGGTACAGCCTGCGCGGCTTCTGCTGGACCCTGTGGGCCCTGGACCCCAGGGCGTGGCAGCTCAGCCACCCTCTCCTCCCCGCAGGACCACCTGCACATCGTGGACTCCCTGGAGCTGCCGACCCCAGACCCCCAGTACCTGGCAGAGCTGGCCCAGTACCGCCACTGGGGGGACTCCGTGCTGCTGGTGGACTGGTGAGGGGGCCCGGGCAGGGACAGGGTGGAGCACCCTTCCCTGGTGGGTGGGACTCACGCCAGTCTGGTTACAGGGCCCACGAGGATATGCCACAGAACATGGTGTCGGCTGCTTCTGGCCTGAAAACCTTCAACCTGATCCCGGCTGTGGGTGAGCCGCCCCGGGGCCCCGGGTGCCAATGCCGGGCGGGCGGGCGGGCAAGGATGCTGCAGGCTCAGTCACGCTCCTGCCCACCACTCCTCAGCTTCCCCAAACAGACCTGAGAGCAAAGAGAGGATTTTGAGTTGCCACCAAGTCACGTCTGAAAGTTCCTGGCTGGTGCCGGCTAGGATGGGAGAGGGGGGAGGCTGGCTGAGCGTACCTCATCTGTGACCACATTGATCTGCCCCAGACCCCTCTCCCCACAGTCTGCTGCCCGGCAGCCCAGCTGCCCCTTGGGCAGCTACATGCGGGAGTGGCAGGGTTTCAGACACGTGCGGTGTTGAATCCTGTTGTGGTCTACCCAGCTGCCCCTGCCCCACTCACCCCCACAACACACACCTGCTGCCTTCCGGGGGCTCAAGCCTGAGACGGCCATCTCTGGTGCCTCCCCCTGCCCATCTGCTCTGCCTTCAAACCTGTGCAGAACCCAGCCCCTTCTCACCACCCTGGTCTGGCCTCTGCTGGCCCCCACGCCATGCACCTGGTTCCCAGTCTCCACCTCAGGCTGTCCTCCCAGCATGGCCAGAAGTGCCCCAGTCGAGACCCAGAACCCTCCCTGGCTCCCACATCCCATGGGATAAAAGCCCAAGGCTTCCCAGAGGCCCTGGGACCTGCACCATCTGCCCAGTCTGGTCTCACCCTGTCCACTTCCACCCTGCCTGTGGCCCAGACCCACCCCGGCCCCTATGGCTTCCTGCTAGCGCGACATATGACAAGCTTGTGGTCTGACTCCCCCTGACCCGGAGTACAGGGCAGCGCCCAGCCAGGCCCAGCAGGTTTGGGAACAGGTTGTGGGCACTTCCCGCTGTCAGCAGCTCTGCGTGGTGGCAGTCTCCCATCCAGGGTCTTGGCACTAGGATCCTGAACCCACACTGAACCCCTAGATCAGGAGGGTGGGGCAGGGGGTGGGGCATCCACCTGGACTCACTGGCCCCGCCCACCAGGCCTGAACGTGTACAGCATGCTCAAGCACCAGACGCTGGTCCTGACGCTGCGCACTGTCGCCTTCCTCGAGGACAAGCTGCTGTGGCACGATTCGCGCTACACGCCGCTCTACCCCTTCCGCCTGCCCTACCGCCCCAGCCCTGAACCACCAGGCCCAGCAGGGCAGCCCTGCCAGGCGCCCCCGCCGGCTCCTGGCTCCTCGTCCGTTTTACAGAAATAAATGGTACTTTTTAACCAGCGTCCAGAAAGATAAGCGAGTGGCTGGTTTCCATTCCGCTTGTTGCGAATCATGGCCTTTGGTGGACCAGGTCCCACCGGACCCAGCTGAGCGGCGAATCACCGACTGGTGCTCACCCGGGGGCTCCCAGGCACCACCCACCTGCCACGTGCGCAGTACACATCCGCCACGCTCCTCCCAGGAAGGTCAGTGGTACCGCCCCCGTCACGCCGAGGGTGTGAGCTCGGTGCCACGTGAGCCAGAGACTCGGAGCCAAGATCTCGTCCCAACGGTAAAGCAAACGTCCCCATCGTGCTAATCAATGCGTTCCTACAAACGCCCAGGCCAGGAGCCTAACTTCAGTCTGCCGCCTGTTGCCCCCAAAACTGCCACCGAGTCGGGGCCAACCCCAAGCCACCCCGTAAGATGGGAGAACCCCCTCTGGGAGTTTCCAAGACTAACTCTTCTTGGCTGGCGGTTTCAAACTGCCGACCTCCCGATTGGCAGCCCAACTCGTCACCACAAGGCCACCAGGGCCCCCAATCGGAACACACTATGCCATCACACGGGTCCTCCCCTGGGAAGCCCCGGCGGCCACAGCAATCCCCTGCCTACCAGGAGCCGCCTCCGCAGCGTACACACATCCTTTGGAAATCCTCAAGGGACATTAATTGAATCTTGCAAAATCCCAGATTCACTCAAGTCCAAAACAAAGCCGTTTGGGTGAGTGATGAGCCAGGGCAGGGTTTGTCACCTCGGCCGATGCCCAGCTGCTACCTGCTTCAGGTGTGCCTCTTGGCAACGCCTGTCCCCACCACGATCTAGCAAGACCCACCCCTGTCCCACCAGCTTACAGCCCCGCTCGGGTGACCAAGAGGGTCAGAACTAGAAGCGTGGACAGGAAACAATACCAACCCCGGCCCACACCTGTATGAATTTGCATAAGAAATGTTAACTAAGCTGGTACTCCCTCCTGGGACACACGCCACCCCTACCCCTGAGCAGATGAAGGGTATGAGACATGCCCAGGAGATGGGGTATGATGCTAGAATGTGCATTCAAACACTTGGGGGGTGGGGGTGTCTGTGAGAGCCCTCACCCACTACCTACCACCATTGAGGCAATTTCCACTCCCAGACGTGCTACAGCAGTCGCGTCACCACGGAGGGTTCCCTGGGCCAGAATCCTGTAAGGGAGCAGAGAGCCTCATTTTTCTACCAAGGAGTGGCTGGTGGGTTTGATCTGCTGACCGCAGCTCACTGACTGCTCAGTAAGATTACTCAGTGGGTTACCTGTGCTGTCAAATCAATTCCAACTCATAGTGACCCTATAGGACAGGATAGAACTCAACTCTGGGAATGGAGAATCCCATCTTTCTCCCTCAGTGGAGCTGGTGGTGAACTGACAGCTTTGTGGTTCACACCCAATGCATATCCACTACCACGCCCCTCAAAACTCACTGCTGTCCAGTCAGTGCCGACTCAAAGTGACCCCCTGTGAGTTTCCAAGACTGAACTGTTTACAGGAGTAGAAAGCCCAGTCTCTCCCAAGGAGCTGCTTTTGGTTTTGAACTGCTGACCATGCAGATCA